AAACTTATAAATTAGTGTGTACTTAACACTATATACTTAACGTAGTTGACTTTCCTGATTTATCAAGAAATTAGGTTGACCAAATATATTTGAAACAAGCTAAATCAACGTTTAGTTGATTTTTGTTCCACTAAATGGCGCTCTGCCATCTAAAATACTCATGTGAGATAATTCTATCCGATTTCCTCAACATTGTCATTGAGCATGTTGGAGACAAGAACTCCGTAATTGGCAAATGCTTGTAAATATTTCTTCCTATTTTAAACTGTAACCTCTCTCCCTACTGTTGACTAGATGTTAATAAACTATTTTCAAAACGCATGTATTTCTTTTCAACGAAAACTCAAAATTTATTTCAAGGAGAAATAACGATTATTTCCAACCCTTTGGATGAGATATGAAAAGATGAATTGTGAAGAGTAATGATAAACGTAAAAAATAAAAGTGTCCAGGGATGGGAATCGAACCCACAGTGTTCCGCTTACCGGGCAGATGCCATGTACACTAAGCTACCCTGGACATATTTTTCCGTTCGTAAATAATACATAAAGTAATTTAAAATACAATATAATATAATACGGCTTGTGATTGTAAAACGACATTTGAAATACTATCCCGCATGTGTTTCTTTTCAACGAGCCGCATTATATTATATTGTATTATAAACTATTTTTAATTTTTTGTCAATTGTCAAAAGATAAGGAATGAGGGAAGTTTACAGAGTAGTAAAATATAAACATAAAAAATGATACTCTGTTAACACAAGTGTAAAATAATAAATACTTGGGTAATAATAAATACTTCGCTATAAAATATTCATATACATAGATTCATATATGATGGTGTCAGATTCTGACTTTTATTTTGACAGGAGAGGCGACCATTGCTTCCATAGATTCATATAGTATATATATGTTATGAATAATTTGTGGTTGCTGTTAGATAAAGGGTTGATAAGACAACGGATCGATAAGATAAAGGGTTGAAGGTGCAGTCGTGATAAGAAAAAGATAATTATTTACCATCAAGTAGCTTTTATTTTCAATTACTTGAGGAAATATTACACATTAGTTATTTTCACAATTATATAGAATTTATAATGTTAATCCTATATTAGTGATTTAAAAGGATAGATATGTTAACTACGCATATTTACAACAAAACTGAAAGTCATTCTAAAAACGATGATAACAAAAGTAAAATTATCAATGAATAAAAAATATATTTTTCAAAATATAGAAATATTTGAATTTTTAGATTATATAATATACAGCATAGGTTTTATATATACTCTATTTACCTATGGGTTTTTTATGCTTTATATACATAGATATTATGTGGAAAACATTCATTTAAATAAATATATAAAAATAATTAAAACATTGATATAATGAAGAAAAAGGCATCTCCTTATAGTGCAACTGAAAGTTACTGATGGCTTGCGCCAATTTCGGAATAAATATCAACTAGTCTCGTTGATTTTTCACATTGTGTAGGGTTCTCACGCAATTCTGGCCTTAACTACCCGTTTCATGATTTTTCAGGATACCTTAATGACCAATTTTTTGGTCGTTGAGGTACAGCTTGCACCACGCTGATGAGGGCCAACAGCCCGAAACGCGTCCGTGGTTAGCTTTTCTTGATTAATCAAGAATTGGTATTTGGACAATTCTGGAATAATTAAAAATCAACGAGAATAGTTGATATTTATTCCGAAAGATGGCACAAGCCATCAGCAACTTTCAGTTGCATGATAAGGAGATGCCTTTTTCTTAATTTATGTACCTTATCCCAGTACAATGTTACATTTGTACTATTTTTTCGCATTGATATAATGATTTAAAAAATACTCATGTGAGCTGTCAGGAAATGCCAATTTTGTTTTTAACTTAAAACTCTAACTAAACGAGGAAATAAAATGGAGGATTATGACAGCTTGCTATATGTTTACCTATTACATAGGTCCCTCCAATTAACTCTACACCAATTACGTTCTTGCAGATCTCCCGACAATGTCACCATTTGTTTGATGTAGGTCACCTTCATTAGGAAGTTTTCGATAAGATTGAATAATACATTTTCTTTCCTGGTTTATATTTACTTCCTCTTTTCCTTCTATAAACATTCTAGCTTGTTCATTTCACTGAGTAATTAGCGTTCTCGGTAACACACACTATATACAAATATAGTTTAAACTAGCCAACTTCCAAATACACTTATCCCCCGATTTACACGGTAGATACGTTCCTGAGAAAAACGTGTAAATCATGGGATATATGTACACAGAAATAAAAATAAAATGCATTGACAGGTTAAAATATGTAGTCAGCACATAAGCTCGGGATTCCTCGTGAGATGTGTACACAGCGCATGTGTTCAATCACAGTATCATTTAGTATAGTACGATAAAAACAAAAAAAAAACTTATTTGGAAAACCGTGTAAAACAACTACCGTGTAAATCGGGGGAAGGTGTATTGTTTCACTTCTACAGTTATACGGTTGTTCCTGCTGTTGACTGTAATTAGAAATATAAAAAATCCTATAATTACACGTCTTTAAAGGATTTTCACGCAAGTAGGCTTAAGAATGCCATTTCCATATAACACTATAAAGGTCGCCTCTCCCGTCAAAATAGACGTCAAAACTAGACGCCATCTATTGACCACGGCCGAAAACTAGCGGACTCGGGTCGGCAACAATGCCACAACACCAGCTTTGTCGTCTATTATAACGGGAGAGATTATCTTTATCATTATAGATAAATATCTTTCCGGCAAAATTTCCATTTATATTTTAGCCATAGATTTGGCCTAGCCATTTTACCAGCTAAACACCCCTTTTTGAGGATTCCATTAGATCCCGTGTGTATCTCATGGAATAAAGTCCGCCCTAGACTGACGAGGACCATTAGCCTGAAACCATGGTCTCTAGGTGGACGCTTCTCAGTTTGCCAAAGCTGGTGTTGTGGCTTTGTCACCGACCCGAGGCCGCTAGTTTGCGGCGACGGTCAATAGATGGCGTCTGGTTTAGACGTCTATTTTGACGGGAGAGGCGACCTTTATCTTTGCGGGATCGAATCCCGCATTGGGCACTTTTTTCCTGATAAAAAAAAAATGCTCCAATGGCTCCGGATTCTTGCAAAAGTCCAACCCCACCAGCGAGTGCAAGTAACCAAACGGGGCTCTGGCACATTTGTAAATGCAAAAGTCGAACTACTTTTCACATGTGTAGACATATGATGCACTTACAGTAAAAGCAGTCGCCTACTTCTACCCACCATGATTATCATGGCCTGTACCACGTGTACTAGGGATAAGCAAAATAAAAGTCTAAATTTTTAGAATATATCATATGCTTTGCATACACTTTTCAAAAATACAAATGCATGTGTTTACTTAAATTAGAATTATTTTTAAATTGAAAAATTAAGCAAAATGATTATTATATTTAACCAAACTATCGAGGGTAATGAAATGGCAGATGAATTGGCAAAAGAAGCAAGAAAGCTGAGCCAAAGGAAAGAACAAATGTCAGTATTTGACGCTGATGCTTTGGCAGAATACAAGATAATTAAACAAAAAATAAGAAAAGATCAAATATGTGAAATAAACTCGGAGAGAAAACTGACAAAAACTATAACAAGACTTAGAACAAAACACTATAAAGGAATGACAATACATCCAGATGGCACAAGAACCTATATGACATGTAACAACTGTCCTGGTGTGGAACTAACACCTACTCACATATTCTCATGCCCAGCAATGGCCGCAGCTTTGCAGAAAATTGACATAGACCCAGAGCAGCAGCTTTACACACCCAAGATAGTGTACATTGCTGCTGCTGTGATGGAGATGTATGGAGACATCTGAGACTCTTCTTTGGACACGACAACAACAACAACAACCAAACGATACATCAAAATAATAATTTTAAAAAACGATTAATTTAAATATATTTATAATAAAAATTGATTTTTGCACGCCTGTATATTAATTATAGCTTTACACACATATACCTACGATATTTTTTCTCAAATTCTTATAATGGATGAAGTGTATGTAAATTGAAATATTTTCCCTTTTAAATGACATATTGGCAATGAAACAAGTTAGAAGTGCCAAAAGATTATTTAGGTCAATTCTATCTTTTATGGACAGGTAATTATTCATTTTTAACTTGAAGAAATTCTTGCAGTTGTGTGATTTAATATTCAATTTTTTTTTTAACTTTAAAAATATATATTTCTTTAAAAATAGAAATTTCGGCTAGTTAAAGTTTTTTATTTTCTCAACGTTTCAACAAAATTCTTTTGTCAAAATTCGAAACTATTTTAAACGCGTAGGATTCTTTTTGAAATTAAACAATTTCTACTGCCCTTACTGCAATGGAAAAATTAATGGGAGGGCCTTGCTCATTGCAGTAAGGGCAGTAGAAATTGTTTAATTTCAAAAAGAATCATAAGCGTTTAAGATATTTTCGAATTTTGATAACAGATGGCGCGCTAGCGTATCATATTAAAATTCGGTTGTCATCGTCAGGAAAATAAATATAAAGTACGTATTTGGCAAGATGTTAAAAATTGTTCTAAGGTTGCAAGGGCGTTTTCACGCGATTTTTCGAATTTAGTACAACATCTAAAGTACGAGTCAAAAACAAATATTAAACTCGTCAAAGACTTATGTTCTTGGAAATAAATATATAATAACACACACACAAAAGCCTTTATTAGGGACTTGCCCCATATAGATTCTCCCAATTGGGTAAGGTAATAATCATCTTGTGTTATTTACATAGAAATTGAACTGGCTTTACTCTTCGTCTCAAAGTCAATCACTTGTTGACTGGTCCTTACATAATGATGATCTAAAAAAATTATAGTAAGCTATTGCCTTAGATTTGTTTGCTGATATTTTTAAAGCAATACGTTGGGTGAAGTGTTGGTACATTTGATTTGTATAAATATATAATAATAAAATTATAATAATAAAAAGAAAACGGTTAACGAGGGGCTCGAACCCACTACCCTGAGATTAAGAGTCTTATGCTCTACCGACTGAGCTAGCCGGGATTGGAATAAATAAATAAAATAATGTATATACTATTTAATACGGCTTATGATTGTAGAATGTGTGAAGCTTGACAACTATACTGCAAGAGTGGTTCCCATCCCTGGACACTTCATTTTTTCGTTTATCATTACTCTTCCCAATTCATCCTATCATACTTCATCCCTAAGGTTAGAAATAATCATTATTTCTCCTTAAAATAAATTTCTATTTTTCGTTAAAAAGAAACATTTGCGGTATAATTGTCAAACTTCGTTCTAAAAGAAAATAATATTAATAATCTAAACGATTTCTAATTATTAAATATAAATTTATAACTACTAGAAGAAAACAGACGAAGCGATTTGAAATTACAAATCTTATCATTTTAATAATTGTATTTAGGTAAACTTTAATGTTTGTAGAAGTAAGCGACTGCTTTTACTATAAGTGCACCACATGTCTACACATGTGAAAAGCAGTTCGACTTTGTACTTATAAATGTGCCAGAGCCCTGTTTGGTTACTTGCATTCGGTGGTGGGGTTGGACTTTTTCAAGAATCAGGAGCCATTGGAGCTTTTTTTTAAAATCATAACAGCGGTATGGTAGATTAAACTGGCGAAACCGCTGGGAGGGTTCACCACTGATGAGCCAGGCCCTCCCATTAATTTTTCTATTGCAGTAAGGGCAGTAGAAATTGTTTAATTTCAAAAAGAATCTTACGCCTTTAAAATAGTTTCGAATTTTGATAACAGATGACGCGCTAGTGCATCATAAAAAAAAAGTGCCCAATGCGGGAATCGAACCCGGGTCGTTAGCGATCGAAAACCAACGGTTTAGACCATCCTTCCACCAACCAACGCCCATTCAGTTGTCGGGATTTTGTCCTTTTGGGATTCCGACTGTCCGACATATGTCCAGAATCCATTTAGCTGGTAATATGGCTGGGTTAATTGTATGGCTAAAATATAGCTTGATACACAGGTTCTTTCTGAGCCTTGAGATGAGGGGAGAACGTGACTTACTGTCTGGAGGAGGACTCTCTGTCGTTGTCTCCTCGACTGTAAATAACTGTATATATTTTACTCTTTTACTTTATCCCTCTTTTATTTTATCCCTCTTTTTATAATTATTATATACTACTACCATTGACTTGTGTATGAGGTCAATAAAATATTTTTGAATCTCTAATCTCTAAAATATATAGCTTGAATTATGACAATAGGTACACTTTTTTAACAAAAAGGAAACGCCCATCCGTCAAAATAGACAACCTGTTCACCAGTGTTTAAAAATGTCTATCTTTATCATAATAATAATTAACAAAATGGTTGTAAAATAAGGGCAAGATGGTCGGAATGTCTACAGACGACCAAGCAGGAAATGCTCCACCTGCCTAAATTTACCCTTCGTTAGCCAAGCCTCTGTTTAATTGTGGCGTTCCATTGACCTTCTTCCTTTACACAGCACTCGTTTCTCCATTGATGTACAAGTGGAATGTCAACCTTGCCCCTACAATGGTCCATTAACATAGAAGGAATCCTTGAATACCAGCTTGTCCCTACTTCAACTTGTACAAGTAACTTATTCTACCTTACTGTCCCTACAAGTAGACATAAAAAGGAATTCTAGAATACTAGCTTACTCTTGTCCCTACTTTAATTTGTACAAGTAACTTATTTCTACCTTACTGTCCCTACAAGTGAACATAAAATGTAATCCTAGAATACCAGCTTACTCTTGTCTCTACTGTAATTTGTACAAGTAACTCATTTCTACCTTACTGTCCCTACAAGTAGACATAAAATGTAATCCTAGAATACCAGCTTACTCTTGTCTCTACTGTAATTTGTACAAGTAACTCATTCTACCTTACTGTCCCTACAAGTAGACATAAAATGTAATCCTAGAATACCAGCTTACTCTTGTGTCTACTTTAATTTGTACAAGTAACTCATTTCTACCTTACTGTCCCTACAAGTAGACATAAAATGTAATCCTAGAATACCAGCTTACTCTTGTCTCTACTGTAATTTGTACAAGTAACTCATTTCTACCTTACTGTCCCTACAAGTGAACATAAAATGTAATCCTAGAATACCAGCTTACTCTTGTCTCTACTGTAATTTGTACAAGTAACTCATTTCTACCTTACTGTCCCTACAAGTAGACATAAAATGTAATCCTAGAATACCAGCTTACTCTTGTCTCTACTGTAATTTGTACAAGTAACTCATTCTACCTTACTGTCCCTACAAGTAGACATAAAATGTAATCCTAGAATACCAGCTTACTCTTGTGTCTACTTTAATTTGTACAAGTAACTCATTTCTACCTTACTGTCCCTACAAGTAGACATAAAATGTAATCCTAGAATACCAGCTTACTCTTGTCTCTACTGTAATTTGTACAAGTAACTCATTTCTACCTTACTGTCCCTACAAGTGAACATAAAATGTAATCCTAGAATACCAGCTTACTCTTGTCTCTACTGTAATTTGTACAAGTAACTCATTTCTACCTTACTGTCCCTACAAGTAGACATAAAATGTAATCCTAGAATACCAGCTTACTCTTGTCTCTACTGTAATTTGTACAAGTAACTCATTTCTACCTTACTGTCCCTACAAGTGAACATAAAATGTAATCCTAGAATACCAGCTTACTCTTGTCTCTACTGTAATTTGTACAAGTAACTCATTTCTACCTTACTGTCCCTACAAGTAGACATAAAATGTAATCCTAGAATACCAGCTTACTCTTGTCTCTACTGTAATTTGTACAAGTAACTCATTTCTACCTTACTGTCCCTACAAGTGAACATAAAATGTAATCCTAGAATACCAGCTTACTCTTGTCTCTACTGTAATTTGTACAAGTAACTCATTTCTACCTTACTGTCCCTACAAGTAGACATAAAATGTAATCCTAGAATACCAGCTTACTCTTGTCTCTACTGTAATTTGTACAAGTAACTCATTTCTACCTTACTGTCCCTACAAGTGAACATAAAATGTAATCCTAGAATACCAGCTTACTCTTGTCTCTACTGTAATTTGTACAAGTAACTCATTTCTACCTTACTGTCCCTACAAGTAGACATAAAATAGAAGCCTAGAATACCGGCTTATACTTGTCCCCACTTTAATTTGTTCCTACAAGTAGAGTTGTTCATTGACATAAAAAGGAATCGTAGAATACCAGCTTATACTTGTCTCTACTTTAACTTATACAAGTAAATTAATTCTACCTTACTGTCCCTACAAGTGAACATAAAATGGTATTCCAGAATACCAGCTTATACGATCTCTACTTTAACTTGTACAAGTAACTTATTTCTACCTTACTGTCCCTACAAGTAGACATAAAATGTAATCCTAGAATACCAGCTTGCTCTTGTCTCTACTTTAATTTGTCCATACAAGTAGAGTTGTCCATTAACATAAAAAGGAATCGTAGAATACCAGCTTATATACTTGTCTCTACTTTAACTTGTACAAGTAACTCATTTCTACCTTACTGTCTCTACAAGTAGACTGGTCCATTAACATAAAATGAAACCCTAGAATACCAGCTTATACTTGTCTCTACTTTAATTTGTATAAGTAATTCCTTTATACCTCCTTGTCCCTACAAGTTGAATTGTTCATTAACATAAAAGGAATCTTAGAACACCTCGAAGATAGTTTACATTTCTTATAAACTAAGCGTGTTATAGTAAATTTCAAGTTGAAATTTTTTAAAAAATCATCCTTTTTCTATATGAATAATATTTTATGAATTAAAGTTCAAAATCAAGTCAATATATACAGTTAAAACTGTCTATAGCGCCCCCTCTTGGGACTCACCATAATAGGATGCTATAGAGAGGGGGTGCTATAGACAGGTCTTTTTTAATGTAAATCGTATCGTACTACGTATTTAAAATCGGGCACTATAGAGAGGGAGGCGTTATTTAGAGGGGGCTCTATTGACAGATTAAACTGTTTATAAAAATTACTTTTTACATTTGTATTGAGAGACATTTTGCTGTAATAAAATTTATAAATCAAAATTCGATGTCAAAAGCGCGTCTTTATTATTCCTTAAGAAACATCCTTGTTAAAAATAAAAAAGGCATATCCTGACCAGGCTCAAATGAGCATTTCTAGATGGCAGAGCACCATCTAGTGGAACAAAAATAAACTAAACGTTTATTTAACTTTTTTCGTGATATATGGCCAACCCAATGTGTGACCAGGGTCCAGGGTAACCTAGTGGAAATGGCATCTGCCCAGTAAACGGAACACTGTGAGTTCAATTCCCATCCTTGGACACTTTATTTTTCCGTTTATCATTAAATAAATCAAGAAAAGTCAACCATGTATGCGTTTAGGGCTGTTGGCCCTATATTGGCCCAGCGTGATACAGACTGTACCTCTACGACCAAATATTTGGTACAAGAGGCTTCCTAAGAAATCCAAAATCCTTACGCTTTAGTAATACCTCTACATTTATCTTTCTACACATGTGTCTCTATTAGACTACAAGTTAATTCTACACACAACAAACGTTTGACCAGGGTCCAGGGTAGCTTAGTGGACATGGCATCTGCCCAGTAAACGGAACACTGTGAGTTTGATTCCCATCCTTAATCTATAATACAAAATAATGCGGCCTATGATTGTAAAGCGACATTTAAAAATTATACCGCATGTGTTTCTTTTTAACGAAAAATCGAAATTTATTTTAAGGAGAAATAACGATAATTTCTAACATTAGGGATGAAGTATGAAAGGATGAATTGTGAAGAATAATAATGAACGGAAAAATAAAGTGTCCAGGGATCATTACCCTTAACTTCACAATTCATCCTATCATACTTCATCCCTAAGGTTAGAAATAATCGTTATTTCTCCTTAAAATAAATTTAGACTTTTCGTTCAAAAAAAACATTTGCGTGATAATTGTCAAATGTCGTTTCTACAAAAGGTGTGATCGTATTTTAATACCTTAATTTTCTCCATGAACTAATTTCC